AACCCCCCCAGCAACGTGGGGCTAATACAGACCGGACCTGACAGTTGCTTAGTTACAGAGGGAAAACCTCTTACTTTGAAAACATTTTGGGTGGCTAAAGACATGGCTCAGGTTAACAGCAATTCCAGTTCTTATAGAGGACCCAGATTTAGTTTCCAGCACCTCCCATAGTAGCTAATAGCTGTCCCTAACTCCAGTTCTGAAGATCCAGAGCCCACTCCAGGCTTCTACCTGCACCAGGCATGCATATATCCATGCAAGCTAAATACCCATACACATTAAAAAATAAAAACAATGCATCTTTAAAATAGCTTAAACCTTAATCAAGCAAAGTATCTTTTCATTTCTATTATTTATTTATTTATTTAGAATCTTTTTGTATAGGCAGGGTTTCATGTGCCTCAAGCTGGCCTGGATCTCCATATGTAGTTCAAGGATGACCTTGAACTTTTACCCTTCTGTCTCCATCTACTAGGTGCTGGGATTACAGGCATAAGCCACCATGGCTGATTGGTTTGTTTATTTGTTTGTTTTTTCTTTTTAATTTTGTTTTTTAAGATGGGAGGTCTCACTGTATTGCTCACTATGTCGTTCTCAGATAACCTCCCTGTCTCAGCTTCCCAGTATCTGGGACACCACCATGTCTCACTCAAAAAAATCTCATTTACATCTTTCTTACTGGATCTAAAAAGCAGGAGTAAAACACTCCCTTCCCACAACGTGAGGACCCAGCTGAGTCTGTGGGAGGTCTAGAGCAGTGTCTATGGAAGACCCCAGCTTCCTAGAAAGAGCTTAGGTAAGGGGTTGGGGAAAGGAATCCTGGGAAGATTTTCCCTCTAAGTTTCTGCAAAGTAGGGACTGTATCTTCTTCCCTGCCCAACCCAAGAGGAGAACTGGCCTGATGGTGGCGCTGTCCATGGTCATCTGTTCATGTTGCGAAGACCAGACTGCACTGCAAGGGAACTTCTTAACCTTTTTGCATAGTTTACATCAAAGAGACCTTAGGAAAATCTAGTGATGGCTGCCTACTACCCTGAAAACTAGGTTTATAGTCCTTATCGAGATTTTTTTTTTTTTTTTAATGACATGGCTCTTCAGTCCTCTCCCAGAGATGTGAGTATGCAAAACATATGGTCAAGTTTCATTATTACAGCAGATGTATCTCAGAAAGCTGAGGATACATGAATAGAGTTGCTAGCATCCGAAGCCTGTGCCGAAGGGACAGCATCCACCCTATCTCTGCTTGTTGCTGTCCAGGAAGGAGGGTGTCTATCAATTCATTCATTTGACATGTGCTGAGCATTTTCTGTGTGCAAGAACACTGCTCTGCTAGAGACACAAGGATTGAGTATTGAAGGATCCCTTCCCCAAAGGCATCAAGACAGCAGATGGCCACAGTAGGATGACCAGAAGTAGGCAAGTAAATTAGGGTCAACCTTCAGAGAGTGATATGGGTGGTATGAGAACAGAGTAGACTTGTTTTGACTCTTCCAGGAAAAAAATGGGAACTGGTCATCTGGAGGAAGGAGAATCAGATGCTTTTGATAGGTAAAGAATGTACCAAATATTCTGAGCTGTTCAAGCAAAGGCAGATTCAAGTGACCTTTCCTGAGATCTCCATTCCTCCTTCCTAAGTCACTCACAGCCAATAACTGTCGAACCTAAGAAGTACCTTTGAGCAGAGTTTTAAGTCAAACTCCCCCACCCCCAACTCCTATGCAATTAGTGTCTACATAGAAACCCTTGAGAGGCCACTCAAAATGGCCTTTACACACCCGAAGCGTGATAGGCAAGGAGAGGGAGCGATGAAGTATCAAACATTTCGAGTGCCTCCCATTCCTACTGGACTCAATATCTCCAATGTGTTTTCTTTTCTCCTGAATTAAGTGTTGGTACATAGCTAAAACTGACATCACAGATGAGGTTTGTATTATCAGAGGAAAACAAATGTGTGCTCTAAGTTCTCCCTGGCCATGTCTACCCTGAGAATTTGAGTTTGATAATGTCAAGGGTCCTGCTACTGCAGTCACTACTGTCTTTCTACCCATTCACAGCAGTGTCTGCCTCTAAGAGACAGTCAGTGACTATTTTGTGGATGGGTGAATTCACAGATAAATGAGCAACTGTGTGTGAATGTTGGTAAGTAAACACCGTTTTATTTATAATTACAGAAGGAAGGAATGTTTTACTCAATCTCGCCCACTGAAAATATACTTAAGTTTGAACAGCCGTTCAATTACATCGAGTAATTGCCCATTGCTGAATCAGTGATGCAGTCTAATTCCTTGGAAAATAATCTTGTGTTATCAAGGCAGAATTTCATTGGACATTACGTGGTACCCCAGCAGCATTCTCCCTGACAACAGAGAAGTTAGTCTCTGAAGCCAGCAAGAATGACTCACCTTTTCATTTCTAAGGACTGTTCCTTGCAGCTCCAGTAATGCATCTGCTTAAAAAATGAAGCCAGCCCCATCCCAAATAAAAGGCCTCTGGACAGCTCTTCAGGGATGAATGTTTTATTGAAATATAGGCACTTGGCAGAGTAAATACATGGTTACAAAGTGTTTTTAGTTTACTTGCTTTATATAATGAATGCAAAAAATAAAACCACAGTGTAGAATTCTTTTTCACTAAGTCTCAGACTTGAGAAAGCAAATCCCTAGTCGTGTGTGGCTATGGTAAAGAAGGCACATGGCAGTGAAACTGTATTATGTTTTAAGACTTTGAGCCAATAATGTCATCCCTTCCCCCAATCTGAAATGACTAAAGACTGTTTATTTAGCACATATCACATAGCTCCCCTATACACACTTTTGGGTTAAAGTAGGACCTGTAGCCTGCTAGGTAAGTACTCTATCTGAAACCATCCCCTCAGGTCACACTTTACAAAAGCCAACAAGTTAAAATCACTTTTGTCTCAGAGAACTGTAAAATCCTTTGAAGTCATTGGCTTTAATCTGAAGAATTACAAGGGCAAACATGAGGATCTGTATAACAATAATAAAAAAACTACAGATTTTATAGGTCAAACCTAATGTTGTGCCATTCTTTACACTCAACCTCTTTGAAAACGACAACTGGAATCTGAGTTGGTAGTCTCCAAGGTGTGTGTGTATGTGTGTGTGTGTGTGTGTGTGTGTGTGTATGTATGTTTCCTGCTTGATTCCATACTCTGTGCCAAGTTACACAGGACAAAATGACAAGTCATTTTTATTTTCAAGGAAAACCTCTGTGAAAGGTCAATAAGTAGCATAACTGGTTTAAAGTCCTAGAGTTTGGGCCAAGAACCAGGAGTCTTTAACAGCTTTGCCGAAGGCAGAGATTGCCCATTGAGATCGCCAACAGCTTGCCTCCCCATGGACACAACAGGACACACACACACACACACACACACACACACACACACACACACGTATGAGAAGCTAAACAAGCTTTTGGCATGTCACCACACACACAGACTATGTTGATGCTCTGTGGGTTCCTTATCCATCTTCCAGTGTGACAGCTGCCTTGCCTAGTTTGGAGTACTTGGTTGTGTGAAACACTCATGGAAGGGTTCTCGGTGTTCTCTAAAATGTCTTGCTACTTAGCACCTATTCCTCTCTGGCCTTCCTGATTGGCGCTAGTTGTCATCTGCTAATTTGGTGACAAACTTTGTCTTGCCACCTGCTCTTGTTGCTTCACTGGCAATAGGTCTTAAGTGTGTATGTTCTTACTTTTCCGCCTCCTAGAGCATACTTGATATTTGCTGTCTTTGTATATAGTTTTGTATCAAGTCTAAATCTTTTCTTTAGACTAAAAGGGGAATTGTAGTGAGAGATCCACCCAGCTGCATCTGTGGCGCAGATGTGAGCAGGTGGTATTTGGTCTGGGGTCCCGGACAGGCTTGCACTCTCTTGGTTCGGAGAGCAGCCTGGGTGTGGATCCTTGGAGCTGGAACTTGCAGGTCATCAGTTTCTTGTGTAATTGACTTCTCCCAGAATAAAATTAACCTATATTTAACCAAGTCCCGTGTATCTTAATCTGTGCTTCTATACTCTCGTTTACACTTAGCTTCTTATGGGGTGAGCAAAAGCAGAGAAAATGAGAGTTCTGGAGTGGGGTTAGCATGAGCTGGAGCTCTGTGATAGCCATGGCTCTCTGAGAAAGAAGGGCAATGTTTGTGGGGCTAGACACTGTTTTCTGGCTCTCTGCCTAACCAGGCAGTGCCGCTGGCCATTTGGCCATCTGCCCCTTCAGCATTGGACTTTATGAGAAGATTCAACAAGGTCAGAAAGTTAATTAAAAATCTCTCCCTGTCTAAAAGCAAGCCCCAAATAGCCCCTGCACAGTAGTGTGCCAGGTGTTTAGTTCCCACATTTCCACAGCAGCATGAAACTTGTCAGTCTTTGCGCTAGGCCCTGGATTGTTAAAGTTACTTGGCATGCAGGAAGCCATTATTCAAGGCTGTGGGTTTCCAGCAGAAAGAACAAATGATGACTAATTCCTCGTTTCAGTCATTGAAAGTCCTTGAAGAAAGGAGGTTGTGGAAAAGACAGGAAGTAAACACAATTTTGGTGCAGCATGCTGAAGGCCAGGAGGAAGGTAAACAGGGACCATGGAGAGAATGGCCAGAGCTTCCTTGCTTAATAGTAGGACACAAACATTCTAAGAGAAGGTGAAATGATTCACACGACACCATGCTGATGTGATTATTACTCATCTTTTATGACTTAGAAATTCTTTGAGGGAGAGGTGGGAAGGGAAGTAGCTCAATTCCTGCTTTAATGGCTGAAGTGTGGAATAACTTCTCTGAAGGAGAAGCTTGATGGCGATGAGTGAAAACAACTCTGAAGACAAAGTGTGAGGTGCTGATGTTAAAATGTGAAAGGAAGTGTCGGGCTCACTGCCCGGGAAACAATCTGAGATTTTCTGAAACACAGTAGGATACATCTTTTTGATCCTTTGAAGTTGAGTCCATTCATCTCTTGTACTAACTGTTACAGGTTGCAATCTCCGTTAAAGGTGAATTCCTTTCTGTCTCCTTCAGAAAGTGGGAACAGTGGTCTTTCCTTTATGGTATCCCCAAGCTTGCTACCTGATAGGGTACCTAAGAAACTAATCTGCTGAATGATCAAACCATTTCTACTTTTGGTGATGACTTTGGGAATGACAGAAACTTGAATGATTTCATTCATTCCTTTGTTCATTCATGCATTCACTTGTTCCCTTCTGAGAGCAAACCAGGACTGTGTAAATGGAGAGAGTGAAAGCTGTCATGGTTTGAAACTTAAAAATTGAAAAAAAAAATCTTTTCTTCTAGACTAAATTCTCATGAGCCCTTTAATTAATATGAAGCAAAACACCTGATCTTTTACTTATTACTGTGCCTAACAGAGCATGCACTAGCTGTTCAAATAATGTCTGTGTAATTGGTAGGTTTTGAGCTAGAAAATTTAGCTGAGCACTTTGCACAACCCGAGGCTAATTTGTGCCAATGAAATCTCTTGTCCCATCTGAATTTCCTCAAAAGGTGATTAACTAATACAAATCAACAAAATGAACCAACAAGGAATTGATAGCAGGATTGGGAACAGGGCCTTAGACAGTCCCACAGACCTTCCAGCTTGCATTTTTGTTCTGCATTGCCTCAGATCTGCCAGCCATGATTGGCTCTGGGGTGCTTCACAGGGCAGGAGTACCTGGTGCTCATGACTTCCTCTTTCTTGTGGCTTGGCAATGGACAAATGCCACTTAAGAGGCAGTGAAGCTGACAGAGTGGGTGGCAAGGCTGGGGTCACGGTAGACCTTTGTACTCTTGCAGTGATGTGTACCACATTTCCGTGCAGAGAATATGGAGGTGCCAGCTCCTACTCTTTTAGCCTCTGCTGCAGAACTGCTGCCTCTCTGGAGCCCCTTCACCCCAATACTCCAATTCTTTCATTATTTCTATTAAGGTGCTAAAGCAACCCTTCACAGGGAGCAGTTCAGCTCCCAAAAGTTGGCCTAAATGTTCACACCCTGTATACATTTCCTCTGGCCTTATTAGTCAAATTAAGGAAATATTTCATAAATTTTATAGCAACCCACATGCAATCCCCTATGGATTCCCATAACTAAAACCCTCTGACCAGTTTTAAAAGAAAAACTCTGGCCAAATTGTTTCTGCTACTCCTCTGAGGGCTGTTCAGGGGAGTTCACGTCATTATCAGACATCTCTGGGATGCCAGTGCCTGGGGCATCCTCTACCACCCACGGGCACCCGTGTGAATGGCCAGTATTGACTTGCTTTGTATGCACAGCAAGGGCTGGGCTATCATTCTCTCCCGGCACTTCTGGATTCTCAGAAACCTGGGGCATCTCATTCTTCTCCACAGAAAAGATGGGATCAGAACTTAATGTGGCATCTTCTTGCAGTGTGACCGTCTCGGCATGCACAGCCTCGTCTTCTACATGAGTGGTGTCCTGTGTAGAAACCATGGCTGGGGGCACATTGCCAGTGGGCTCTGGAGCCTCAGATGGCTCCCCTAAGGGACCTAGACAGCCTGTGTCCTCAGGGGGCCCCCCACCAGTGGACTGAGAGATAGTGCTGCTAGCTTCTGGCAATGTCCCCAAGTCTTCTCCAGAAGCCTCAACTTCCAGAGGGGTAGGCTGGCCGCCCCACTCTCTGACTTGCCTTTCTTCACAGTTGTCCTGCTGGCTGGCAGCTGGCTGGCTGGCTTCTGGGTCGATCTTGTCTTCTTCTTTTTCATTTTCTTGGGTAACAGGTGTCTCCTCATGTGTATCATTGTCAATCACTGGGGTGGGCTCCACGGACACTGTCACAGTCAACAACTCTTTCAGCTCCTTCAAAGACCCTGGAGTGTTGATGGACTCTGGCCCTTCACAGGTGGGCTCCTCATCTTTAAGGGTCTCCCCACCTTCCACCTCTGACAAATGTGAGCTGAGGGGTCCTGCTGTATCCTCTGCAGTGAGAGGACTCCCAGCAGAGCTATCCACACTAGACACAGTCACCTGCCCATCCCCACCTGAAGGAGGACTGGACCAAGGGACAGAAGTACTTTCTTCTCTGGCCAGTGAGCCGGGTACCCCAGGCTGCTGCTTCTTTTCCTCTGGCTCCTGGAATACTTCATTATCTGGAGCCCCTGGAAGAATGGCAGACACTCTTCTGGCTGGGCTGGCCTGGTTTGACCCCATGGAGGTTTTGAGATCTGTCAGGCTGGATACACTTTCGCTGGGCAAGGCCATGTTGTCTTCAAATAAGTTGTGTTTCTTCAAGATAGCTGCCTCCGTGATCACTGAGAGAGACCAGAAAACAAGACATGACATCAGTACACTGCCAAGCAAATCTGGATTTTCTGATTTTACCCGGAAGCCAGTCATTCCTGCTGGCTCCTCTGGATCTCCAGGGTCTCAGTTTCAAGACCCAGTTTAGGAACGACCTTTTCCAGGTAGCCTTTCCTGATGATCAAAGCCTGCAAACTTTCCCAACTCCGAATCCTGGTATTGCCCATTCACAAATTTCTTCAGTCAGGAAACCCTTGCTAGGCATCTAATCTGAGGCCAGCATCCATCCAGAGGAGAATAAAAGAACGCCTTGGCTTTCAAAGAGCTCAAAGTCTACAAGAGTATCATATACATCGGTGTCACCTGGATGCTAAGATAGGTGGCTAGTTGGGAACCCCACTATGATCGGGGCAGGCTTTCCACTTCCCTTGTTTTGTCTGACAGCCTGGTACTGATGGCATAGTGGGTATTCAGTGCTAAGTGTACAGCTGAGAGATCTTGTTAGCCTGGAGTGTTCAGGACGAGCATTTTACGTGTACCTATCTCAGTCTCAAAGGCATGGAGAGAAACAAAGAAAGTAACAACAGAAACAATAGTGCCTGACCATTTGGCCACAGACCTCTGTGCAGAGTTGTAGCATCCAACAATGCCACCTGGAAGAGGGTGTCACTCATGGCAGAGACAGAATGGCTAAGGGCAGTGGGCACAATTTGTCAGCATCCAGCACTAGTGTCTGCCGTGACAGATGTCATCGTACAGCATGTTTGAGGCAGAGATAGGGCAGGTTGTGGAGGAGAGGCATCTCCTTACAACTTCCTTAGACATGTCTGTGGCAGGCTGTATATGACCTCTGTGCAGATGCCATGTCAATACCTTTGACTTCCTCATCTGGGACCTCCTGTGATTAACTACCTGAGGTTTGTGCTGGCCCAGTTCTCTCGTTGGAGGAGGTGATTTAGTAATGAACACTAAATAAGTTTCACTCCTACAGACAGATGGCAGCCTCCTCCAAAGTATTTCAATGTATATACACTCATACTGTAATCCTAGACAGAGCCCCATGACACAGCACAGTGGATACCAGACTCCTAGAGAGGCTCTCAGTGTGCCATGCCAATGTCCTGCGTCTCAGTCTGGCTGAGTGGATGTGCTGAGACAGCAAGTGTTGGGAGTCACCTCTGTGCAGCTGTGAAAGCCCTTTGTTGTTCTGACACATAGTGGCAAAGACAGATCTGTAGGACAGACCCTCAGTTCAGCCCCACTAAGCCTTGGTTTCTTTCCTCTTCAGTAGTAAAGTCTGAACTCTCATCCTGCAGAATCCATGCTTGCATTGAAAGAGGACTATCGTGGCCACATGGTGCACACCTTGTGGATACACAGCAAGGTTGGTCCTGCCTGTCTGTCTGCCTGCCCTCTCTTTGCCGTCTCCCCTGTACACAAAAATCTGTTTCAGCTCTTCCTCATTCTGACCTTAGAGCCTCCCTGAGTTCTGTTTCAGGCACGCTTCCCATTATGGAGCATTCCCTCCAGGGCAAGGCAAGCCGTCCTTACCTTTCAGAGTTTCGTCAAGGAGGATCTGATACAAGATCTCTTCGTAGACGTTCTCGACATGGATCATATTGGTGTGATCTGCGAAGATGAACTGCTCGTATTTCTGAAGCTCCTGGGGAGTGAGAGATAAAAGGATAAAGAAGACATGATGTCAGGAGTTCAACTCAAAGCTACATTGAAATTCCACCTAACTCTAGCAGAATGGCAATAACAACAACAACAACAACAACAAAATAAACAATAACAAAAAACAAATGCTGGTGAGGATGTGGAGAGAACATACACACGACTGGTATGTTCTGGAGTTAGTTGAGGCATTATTTACATTAGTATGGACCTTCCTGGGAAAACTAAAATCCAAACTACCTATGATCCAGCTACCACTCTTGTATCTATAACTGAAGGAAACTGTTCTTAGTAGCCAAGATATGGAACCAACCTACAAGCCCACCAGCAGATGAGTGAATAAAGGAACCATGGTATGTACACAATAAATAAAAGCGTGTCACATGCAGGAAAATGGATCAAATGGAGATAACTGAAATAATCCAGACCCAGAAAGACAAACAGCACCTATTTTCTCTCACGTGGAGAATCTAGATTTAGGGAAAATTTAAAAAGACATAAAGGCAGAAGGAAGACTGTTGGAAAGAAGATTGGCAGGAGAGAAGAGTGGGGCAAGAGACGGTAACGGGGGAGAAACCCATTAATTTTTTGTAATTAATGTATGATACTGAAAACAAAAGAAAAACACAAGGTGTCTATTTTCAAAAGAGATAAGGAAAGGGCGACTCCCACTTAACTCCTCCTCCTAGAAGAGGCTGGAAGGACAGCAGCTGGTGCTACAGGTTAAAGATGCTAAGATGACAATGCAGCCAAGGTCTTCCTGTGTTCCCTTTGCCTCTGCCTATGTACTAAGCACTTTACTGTGGTAAGGGGCACTTGCCTTTGGTCATCCCCATCCCTTTTTGTGTGCACTGGGAATGCATCCTGTGCACTTCAAATGAGAAGACAGCAGAGATTTTTTTCAGTAGTCTCAGGGCCTCTGAGGGGTACCATGTCCTCTTTTTCTCTATAGTAACCAATGTTTTCTTCTTTATTTTTTTATCTGATGCAAATAGTACTTTACCAAAGTAAAAGTTATATGCAGTGAAATGCAGATTTTAAAAGTGTAGCCTGATGACATTAACTATAATAAGTATATACATGTGACCATAACCCTTCCAGCCCACACCCCTCCAATGATAAGGTCTGATCAGAAGTCTGTCACAGTAGGTTTAGTTTTACATGTAAATGAAACCATGTATTGGTTTGTATTTGCTTTTCAGATTTTTCCACATTGCTACATAGTGAACAGTGCATTCCTCTTTAGTGATAAACATCATTCACTTTATAGGTAAGTTGGAATTATTCATTCCTACTCATTTGACATTGTCTGTGGTGATTTGAGTAAGAATGGCCCCCAGAGGGTCATGTATTTGAATGCTTGATCACCAAGGATTGGCACCATTTGATAAGGATTAGGAAGTGTGGCCTTGTTGGGGTAGGTGCAGCCTTATTGGAGGAAGTATGTCACTGGGGTGTGCTTTGAGGTTTTAAAAGTCCACACCAGGCCTAGTTTCTCTCTGTCATTGTCTCTGTCTCTGTCTCTCTGTCCCTCTCTCTCTGGATGCCTGTAGATAAGAATGTAGTTCTCAAATAATTCCTCAACACTATGCCTGTCTGCATGTTGTCATGCTCCCTGCCTTGATGACAACAGACTAAATCTCTGAAACTGTAAGCAAGTCCCCAACTAAATGCTTTCTCTTATAAGTTGCCTTGGTCACGGGGTCTCTTCACAGCAATAGGACAATGACTAAGACATTGACTTTATTAATAATGAACATTTTTGTGTACATTCTATTCTGTATGGACAACTTACGAACTTGTTTATCTTAGGAAGATACCTAGAAGTGAGGTTTCTAGATCACATGTAGGTATATGTTCAACATTATTAACACAGAAGTCCTTTTCCAGTTGAGAACCAAGGTGTCTTCCTCTTCAACTGGCACCGACAGTCTCCAATTCCAAGACAGTTGGATGCAAAATCCCTTGACTTTCCCAGCCTCCCAAAGCCTTCCAAATGCCTTGTTACCAGCATGAAAATGCTACTAATTATATGACAGAGATGAATTCAGTTATCCAGGCACGTGAGAGTGCTGGAGAGGGGCAGCTTTTAGAGAACAGGGGCTTGGCAATGGGAGTTGATGCCGTTTGGTCTGATGGCCAGCATTTGTAGCAGGCAGCAGGAAACTACCACATCCAGACAGTGCTAAAATATGGGGGCCCTGTGGCCCAGGGCTGTGTGGTCCCACCAATGGATGGCAATAGGGTCTATTTGCATCCACTGAGAAGAAAGGTGAAAGACTTAGGAGACAACAGGCTTCAGTGATCTCTAGAAGGTGTAACAGACAAAAACCATGAAGATATGGAAGGGGCATTGCCCAGGAAAAGATACTGCTTATGGGAGCCTGGGTAAGGAGGACACCACTCAGGGCCTGTCTTTACTTCCCTTATATGAGGGGTGCAAGCTCAGGCCTCAACAGCCCTTGCTCCTCACTCCCCTGCCACTCATCCACTGGCACCGGGTGAAAGCAAGATTCTGGTAGTCCCCTGAATGGCCGGAACTCAGCTAGTGATGTGGCTTCCCTGTGCAGACACTTGTATTGCTCACATGGCATCTTGCGTGCCTGTTATCTGCCTCTCTACTGTGAACTCTAGGACAGCCGGGACAGTAACCTGGATCATGTTTGATACATTTTTTGAGTTGTGTTTGCTACATTAATAGAAAACATATTTTCACCCAATTAAATAATTCTGTGGGAAGGGAACGAAGGAACACTTATGTTGCTGGGATTGTCTAATTTTACAAAGCACATCTTCCATGATGAGACAATTGAACTGGGTCAGATGCTTAATTTTCTGGATCAACTAAAATGAAATCCTGATGCCGGGACTTGGAGGGTAGTTAAGAAAAGAAAATGCTACCATGGACAATTCTACTGCACAGCTAGGGTAGAGTAGAATGTCACAGATCTAGGAAATTGCTACTGAAAGAACTAAGAAAAACTCACTTTAGGAAAATAAAGACTTCCATGAAGCCGATAACCCTCTAATATATCTGCCTATAAACCTGGGGTTCCAAAAGCTCTGACACTGACACAGTGTCCTTTATCACTGAAAACTCGGGGTACGGCTCTTCTGAAAGCAGCCTCTCTCAACTAACAATAACAATTGCCGTGGCTGGGGGGAATGGCTCATTGGATAAAGCATCACTTTTGCTTGTATCTAGATCCCTAACACCCACATAAAAGCAGGGGGAAGGGGCGGGCGTTAGACTGCCTGTAAACCCAGTGCTCAGGAAGCAGAGACAGGGTCCCTAGGCCAAGTTGTCTAGATGGACTAGCTGATTGGCAAGCTCCAGGTTCAAAGAGCTGGAGGAAGACATCCTGTGTCAGTTTCGGCCTACACACACACACACATACACACACACACGCACACGCACACGCACACGCACACGCACACGCACACACACACAGTGCTGTCACCCACATACCCGAAAAAAAAACAAAACACTTGCAAGACCTGCCTAGATTGGGCACATTTTGCTCCTTTCACGTTAAGAAACAGAGGGCATAGAAAGAAGGGATGGCCTCCTACCTCCCCCTCCCATGGAGAAGGTAGTGGTAAGGTAAGCCTCCATGCTTCCCTTGGGAGTGAAAACACATTTTAAGCACATCTCTGTGTGAAGACTCATTCTGAGGTAGGTTAGTGATCATCCCTCAGGCTACTGAACACTGAACACTGAACACTCAGACCAATTCCTTTCTCCTTTGGTTTTCTCAGATCTTTTCCACCAAGAAATACTCCAGGAATAAATGCAAGATTGAATATGCCAATGACTATCTGAGAAAAACAGCATTTATAGAATATCAAAGCAACCAGAGAAAATTCCACTGAATAATAACCCACACAAAGGATTTTAATGTTCAGTGCTTGGAGACTCTCCAAACTGTCAAAAAGCCATTTAAAAATTCTATGATGCTCTTTCTTATTGACTCCAAGGTGGAATGGGCCCTGAAAATGGCCAGACTCCTAAGTAATTTTTTGGAATGCGGGAACAGCCATAGTAATAGTTGTAGGAGAGGCTGATGCCATTTGCTGAGTGCCAGCTGTGTCATAGGTAAATATAAACTGGATTCAGCTGGTGGTAACTAGCTTTGTGACATTGGGCCTGCTCTTCAACCACTTAACTTCCCTCTTCAGCATCAGGAGGGTGAGAATGGTGTCTCTCCTCCGAGAACTGCTGTGAAATTCATCTGGATGATTGATAAGAAATGTTTAACACCATGCCTGGTATGTGATATGAACTTAATAAGATGGCAAATGTGTCTCATTCTTAAGACAGATAATGCAAGCCAGGGTGTGTAATTTTAGCACAGCAGGGTTGCTAAGCCAGATGGACCAGGAGTTTTAAAGCCTAGCCTGGGCTACACAGCAAGATACTGTCCAAAAAAGGGAGAGTTGGGGGTAAAAGAAAAATGAAAAGGAAGAAACACATTATTATATCCAGGACTTATACACAAGCTTGGAAGACGCCTCCAGACACTTCTTTTGCCTGTTGATCTGATCATACCTCACACTCATGGCTGTCCTGCAACCCCATCTCAAACCTCACACTCATGCTGTCCTGCAGCCCCATGTTCACAAGAGCTTATGTCAGGGATTTCAGTAAACTACAGATACAGATACAGAGCTTATGTCAGGGATTTCAGTAAACTGCAGATACAGATACAGGAGAACAAACAAGCCGTCTGTGATCACACTTAAGATCTTTCCTGGGTGTAGTGGCCAACTTTCAGTGCACTTGCTAAATAAGACTGACAATAATTGGGAGAAGATCTTATCTCCTTTGGGAATCCACATCAGCTCTTAGAGCTTGGCTCAAGTCCTGTCTTTAGCCTTTGAGATTTCCTGTAGTTCAGGATTCATAAAACCTGGGCTGCGTGTGTGGGTGCGTGCATGTGTGCATAAGTGTATGAAACACAGACTTTATATATTTATGCATCCTTTCTGGCTGCTCTTACACTACACAGCAGTACTGAGTGTGTGCAACAGAAATGCCCATGAAGCCTAAAACATCTACCAGACCACGTACAAAGAATTCAACAGCCCTCTGGTTTAGTCTAGTATTTGCCAGTGCAGGAGTGCAAACTAAAGCTTAAGAGTCAACAAGAGCAGGCTGCTGGGAGCAGCCTATTTCCTTACTGGTTTGCATGTGGCCGCCAGTGCCTTCTGCACGGTGGGTAGTGTGATTTGAATCAATGCCTCCTGGAAGATCTTCTTCCGGACGGTGCTGCTGTCGTAATCATATTGCTGCGAACACAGAGACACAGGCTAAGGAGCACAGTTTCAATCTGTAACTTTCACTTAAACAGTAAAACAATACACCCACCCAGTCATCTCCCATCCTCAGCCTCCCCCCCCCCATTGATTTCTGAGACTCTCATAAGTTTAGGGTCTCAGAGATCTCTTCCTGGAACTCTTGCATAAACTGGGTCTGGGCTGTGATCCATTTCACCCACCCCTTTTACAAATATGGAAACTGAGGCAAGATCCGACAAAGGAGTGATGTTGTATAAAGATGCAGCTCAAACTAGAAAGTGAGTTTGTGCTTCACTACTCCCAGCCTGGTACACACAGGGGAGTCATGGATATCTATTATTCTCTGTCCTGCAAGCAGGCTGGGTGGCTTGTAATAATGTCCACAAGGGGAAAGAGGGCGTGGCTTAAAGCTCCATCAACACTAAACATCCCAAACTGGAATCTACGTTGCAGAGCTGAGTGGTTACAATAGAAACAAGCCCATGGGGAATAAAACGTGACACAAGAGTACGCCCACCACTCTCTAGTTTAGTCTAGAAAGTACAGGAGGAAGTACAGGAGGGCAAAAGAACACATTCAAACTTTTTTTTGTTTGTTTGTTTCGAGACAGGGTTTCTCTGTGGCTTTGGAGCCTGTCCTGGAACTAGCTCTTGTAGACCAGGCTGATCTCGAACTCACAGAGATCCACCTGCCTCTGCCTCCCGAGTGCTGGGATTAAAGGCATGTGCCACCAACGAATGCCCTTCGAACACATTCAGACTTAAGAGTCAGCAAGAGCAGTCTCTTGGGAGCAGCCCATTTCCATCCTGGTTTGCATGTGGGTACTGGTACCTTGTGCACAGGCACTCAAGAGAATTGCAGTGGGCATGTAAACACGGTGGTTTAGCCAAAGCAAGAATGGCTGATGCTCGCACTACAGATCATAAATGGGAACAAAATTACATCTCTAGCCAAGTGGGAGAAGCAGAATCACCAGTGCCAAGAGCCTGGATCTAACATCAGCACACGTGTTCTTGCAGGCAAATTAGAGAGAGGTTTAGAACCACTGTCTTGGGAGGTGGAATCTGTTCTGAATTTGGAGGGGGCCAAGTACTCATGGAACCACCCCTGGCAGGAACAGGTTTTGGTTTTTGGTTTTTGAGTAGCAAATAACTTATTGGTAAGTTCAGGGTTTTAACTGCAGCAATAAATTCATTTGAATAGGAGTGGGGTGTTTTGAAAGAAAATGGCCCCCAAAGGGAGTGGCACTATTTGGAGGTGTGACCTTGTTGGAGGAAATGTGTCACCGTGGAGGCTGGCTTTGAGGTCTCATTTATGCTCAAGATACTGCCCAGTGTCTCAGACCACTTCCTGTTGCCTGTAAGTCAAGCTGTAAGAGCTCTCTGCTCCTTCTCCAGCACCATGTCTGCCTCCATGGTCATCATGCTTCCTGCCATGACGATAATGGACTAAACTTCTGAACTGTAAACCACCCCCAGTTAAAGGTTTTCCCTTATAAGAGTTGCTGTGGTCTGGGGAAGGGCCTAGGCCTGGCCCAGGATGATGTGGTAGACTTTGGGAAGCCCCTTTTGAGGGCCTTACCCTGCCTGGGGAGTGGAGGGGGATGGCTAGGGGCAGGTGGGATGTTGGGGGGGGAGGGGAGGGAGAGGGAGAAGGGACTGACATCTGAAGCAAGCTTTTTCCTAATTTGAACTAATAAAATAAAAATAAAAAAAAAAGAGTTGCTGTGGTCATGGTGCCTCTTCACAGCAATAGATAACCTGACTAAGACAAGGAGACAATAAGTAAAAAAAAAAAATGCTTGCAAATTATCAGAAAATCTGGCCATCTGGGCTGTCACACAGAAATCCAAAATCACTGAAAGGCCAAATCTTGAAGACGATCTGTCCTCTTATTAGTCCATATGATGTAGGCCCCTGGTACTTGGTGTCTGCAGAATTCTGTAAGTTATCACCTTCTATATAACATATATAGAAGTTTAAAAACTTCTATATAAACATATAGCTACAGCTTTTACAGCTACCTGATGGACTAGTGGTGGGGATTTTGTCTCCTTCCAAACCAATTGCTCTTTTACAAATGTTTGATTTTCAGATCACTTGAACTTTTTTTTTTACAATTACAATGTGGCCTCTCTAAATAAAAGAGAGGCTAAGCTGGACATGGTGAAATGTAGAGGTAATTCCAGGATATTTGAGTTAGGCAAGAATGTGGAAACCATCAGTAGCTAGTCTCCTGTCACATAGGCCTCTTATACAGTTCATGCAATGTGTTTAGGATGCTTGCAAGGTTTCCAGGGAACTCCGATTCTAGAGCACAAGTCAAATTGTATGTGAGTCATCCACAGCTGTGTTTTCCCACGGCCCCAAACACAACCTGAAGTTCCTCTCCCAGGACTCAGGTGGACCTGCTTCATTGGGCAGCAACAATTTAACCCTGGCTAGATAGAAGGTTGAACTTGAGGTATTCTAAGTTCCTTTCAACCCTAACGCCTGAAGATTGGGACACTTTCTATTTCAGTCCTCTCCTGTCTGCCAAAGCACGGGATAACTGTAGTTGGCCCTTCCCCATGGTGACGTTGCTAGTGTGTTATTATTTGTGATGTGATGATCAGCAATGCTTTTCATTTGGTCGCCAGAGAGTCTCCTGCCTGACTGGCACCAAGATAAGTCTGGAACTCTGGGACATTCCTGAGACCCCACGGGACTTCAGTCTTCTGTTCTAAAACACTGTTTTCTGGGAAGCCAGAGACAGCAGAAACCAGTGGGTCAGGTGTAAATACAGTTTCAGCTCCAAGCTCGTGGTTCACTAGCCTGCTGAGCCTGAGTAAGTCAGTCCAGCTTTCAGAGGGCCTGCTTCTTCATCTGCCCTGGGGGTGAAGTCTAATAAGCTCAGTGGAAGTCAAAGGAAACAGTAAGGTTCTGGGGTCTTTTTCAGTAGGCCTGGGGAGATGGTTGTGTGGGTGAGAGCGCTTCCTGTCTTTTGAGGACCCAAATTCTGTTCCCAGCATCTACATTGGATGACTCACAACTATCTGTACTTCCAGCTCCAAGGGATTGGACATCCTTGTCTGGCCTCCGTGGGAACCCACATACAGGTGGCATACAAGCAAACATGCATAAATGGTAAAAACTAAAAATAGAAATTTTTGGAGTGACAACTTAGGAACAACAAATCTTAGGAAAATGAATTTTTAAAAGGGCTTTAAATAAGTACCAAATACATGTATGCTCCTATTATCACAAGTTTTATTATGTACATAGGCCCAAAACTCATTAAAAAACCATCTCATGTGGCAGGTATACTTTCCCTTGGGATGGTTCCATTGGCTCTAAGTTTTGGTTTTTATTTAAAATGTTGACTAATTTAGTGCATTAGTACTTGGAATGCTGGGCTGCAGCTGACCTATTGCCATATACTATGCAATATCTGTCAAAGCGTTTGCGGTGGCTAAGCAATTAGCATTTGCCAAGTTGTGAAAATAACCCCGCAGGTCATTTCTAACTTGTTAGTGCTGAGGACATGTGGTTCCTGAAGAAGCCACTAGATGGCAGGAGAGGCATGAGAGTCACGCTAGGGAAACTGAACAATGGTCATCTAGCTGTGCTTGGGAAAAGGGCCCAGACTGGGTGAAAGGGAGGTCATTGGGGAACAGGAACAGGGGCCACAGTCTTATCAGACGCTCCCTACAAATGAAGACAAAGCTCTTACCTTTAAGACACGGAGCTTAACCTTCTCGATGGCAGCCGCTGCTCTGGAAGCCTCTCCTTGGAGATGTGGGGAGAGCAACTGCTCAAATGTGAACACTGCGTTCTCCATGAGCTGTCCATTAAGCCAACAGAGAAGCAGAGCACAGTTAGGGGCTGCAACACGGGCCCTAGCCTACCTGCCTAGGATCTGGCAGGAGGAGATGAACAGAGGTTCCCCCATGCACAACTGTGGGGTAACACAGTGCTTGTCCTTCTCCCTGGACTGTGAAACAAAACACATAGCGGCCACTATGAGACAAGAAGAGGGTGGAAAACACCCTTCTCTATACACACATGCATGTCTGTCTGTCTGTCTATCTGCATAATGGTTTCCTTTTGTCCCCGCTTCTACCCATCACTCTTAGTGGGAAGGAAACCCCAGTACAGCGGGACTCAGAGCCATGGTCTCCTGTGGTCATTCTCCTCCTCCGTGCTCTGACACAGGTGAGCAGACACAGGTCACATGACAAGGTGGGAGAAGGCTCCACATCTAGAAGGACTTGTCACTCTGCGCTATACACTCTCTCTATTGTCCATCCTACCATCCCATATCCCCCTCTTTCTCTGAATGGCTAGTGTCCCCGCTTGAATATGGTATGGTCCTCAGAGGCTCGTTCCTGTTTTTGAACACTTGGTCGTTGTCTGGGAGGCACTGAGTGGCAAGGTTATTGAATCTTTAGGATGCAGGACTTGCTGGAGGAGGTGGTGGCTCCAGGACTATAGCATCGCCCTGCCTCCAGCTCAAGCCCTCTCTGCTTCCTGGGCACCAGCCACATGCTCCCACCTCTGAACTCCACCATGACCTCTTGCCTTGATGGACTGCCACTCTCAACCTGTAAGCCAAAAGGAATCCTTCCTCCCTTATGTTGTACCTTTGGACATTCTGTCACAGCAATGAGGAAGGACATTAATAGAGTTGAGGAGAGAGGCAGGGTCAGGGCTCCATGGCAGTAGTGGCTATCACACTTGGGACAAGGCTTTATTGCTCAGGAAACTGATACAGCTCAGCTGGCTTAGTCTGCAGTTGTGCCTGTGTTTGTTCCTCCAGGATCCAGAATTATCCAAGGGACTGATTTTATATTGTTCCATAATTCTGCCATTTGTCCTTTATTTATTTATTTTTTTAAGACAGGGTTTCATTCAGCCTAGGCTGGCCTTTAACTTGCAATGTAGACAAAGAAGAACTCAAACCCCTGATCTGATCCTCCTGCCTCTTCCTCCTCAATTCTGGAGCTAACAAGTGTAACTCTAGGTATTTGACACCATAGTACACATACAGACAAGCAGACATGCACAAACATACATGCAATAAAGTAAATTTTAATATTAAAAATGAAATATGAAGTTGTAATGGGTCTCCTTGCAATGAGGTAGGGAATTCAGCCAGTGTTTCTAGATCCTGGCTACATATTAGAAACAGTGGGATAGAAGTAGAGGACATTCTCTAAGAATTTCAAATATACTATAAAACATTATATATATTTATATATATATATATATATATATATATATATAATGTATGTATGTATGATGTATGTATGTATGTATGTATATATATGAAATCACTAGGGGTGGGGCACCACATCAGTAGTTCTTAAAATTTCCCCATGTGTTTCTAATATGTAGCCAAAGTTTGAAGTCTTGACCTAACCCATCAAATAATTACCAGCTAATGCTACTTTATTTCCCAGATTCTTGTTTTCTGAGGAAAGATGAAGCCAGCTGGAAGGACAGTGTGTGTCCTCAGTCAACCTGACTCTGTAAACCGGCCTCAATTCCCTGAGCTCCAGAGCACCCCCACGTCATCTGTCAACATGCCTTTCACCTTCTCTCTCCTTCTTTTCGTTCTTGCCTCCCCCCCACCCCAATACCCTTCTGTTTCTACCTCTTGCATGTAGTTCTGAGTCCTCTGGACCACCAGATCCACGTGAGGGAATCTGAAGCGACTCTGGAGATCCAGCAGGCGCTCCGGAAGCAATGTGACTTTAGTATAACAGGGTTCCATCTTCACAGAATCCAGAGGAAGCTTCGTCAGCTGGTCCAGGTGCTGCATTTTGGTGAAGGAGCAAAGCAAATGCCCTTAGATTTAGGATAGTACATAATACCAAGACCTGTATTTGAAACGATCAAGTGTATATTATGAGTATTAATTACTACTTGCACCATTCTATCCGAGACATCAATTGTCTTCTTTCTTTCTGTGGGTCCCTGGGGCAGCTCTACTGCTAGGAAAGAAACAGAAGAACCACCCAGGCATTAGGAAGACTCAGAGGCACACCCAAGCTGGGGCTCCAGTCTCTTTAAGTCCTCAGTAGCCTCCAGTTCCCCACTTCCTGAACTCAAGAACCAGCCAGGCTGGCTCTTCAGCAGCGAGAACTGTTGCTGGGCCCACAAGCCTGCATAAGATGCTTTAAGGGGTGGAAAATTGTTCCATTTTCTAAGCTTAGCTTAAAATGGTTTTAAACTTGAACACTGGAAGCTTAAGATAAAGAGGAGAATGGGTGAAGACGGGGGGGGGGGGGGCACTTCTGATAATGAAAGCTCTCAGGAGAAGGCAGTTGAGTGTGAATAACATAGGAGACTATCTGACAGGAATTTTCCAAGGGCCCATCCCATTGTGCTTTAAAGGGAAAAAGTATTCACTTTAAGAAGTGAACAATAGAGAGGCCTACTGAAGGGGAATTAAAGATTAGAAGGGGAAGCCCAGTCAGTGTTGCATTAGCTTTTGTACTACAACTATAAATGTATCACTTTCTTTTTTAAAGATCTATTTTATTTTTGAGTATATGTGTATTTGTGTATGTGCATGTGAGTGTAGGTACCAAAAAGGCCAGGAGAGGGCATCAGATCCCCTGTAGTTAGAGTTTACAGGTGGTTGTGAGCCACCTGACAATGGGTGCTGGGAACTAAATTTGGGTCCTATGGAAGAGCAGCAAGTGTGCTTAACTGCTGAGCCACCACTCAGCAGGAATATTTTACTTTAAAAATTAATTGAGTAGACAAGAGAGGAAAAATGGGTGCCTACTTTACTACTATCAAATTGTTGAGAGTTTAAGTAAGTGATAACACCCCTCACAGATGGTAACATGGGGAGAAGGCTCCCTGCCACAAACAAATCAGTACAATGTAAAATTTTATTCTTTTGAAATTTAAGGGAAACATCTATTAACATGAAAATATGTCTTTCAACCTAGGAATCTATTCCACTGAAATAAAAGCATCCGTGTAAGGAATGTGTATGTATATACATGCAGATGTATCTACAATTTGTAGGATATCTGTGCAAAGTTATTTATTATAGCTTTGTTCATGGTGTCAGCAATAATGGGATGGCTGAGTAAATCATAGCATTTCTAAACATGAAATATTATGCTGTCATTACAAGAAGCAATTCAGAACTAGATCAGTTACCTTGGAAACAGTTTCATGAAATCATTTTGAAGAAGAAATGTGATAAGCAGCTTGGTATATAAAATAACTGTATTTTTCTAAAACCAAACAATGTAAGACAACAGCTCTGAAATGTGTGTGTTTTCTATGTCTTCTAAGAGGCGGAAAGCACAGAATACCCACAAACTGAGTTGGATTTTTTTTTTCTTTTTCTTTTTTTTTTTTGTGGAGAAGAGAATGGTGCTAGAGAATGAAGGGGAATAAAGACAGGTTAAAACACATACACAAACACACGTGTGCATACACACTCTCATATGCATACACACATACACAAGTACCTGCACACACATACCCATACCCACCCCCACACACACAGCCCCCCCCATCCCTACCCTATACAGGCATGTGCATGCACACACATGCACACAAATGGCTGTAATAAGAAACGTCGCGGCATTTATGAAATGATCTTGGTTTTGTACAATCACACATGTGGGTACCTGCATAAGGAAATGAGAAAAGCACAGCACAGGAGGTGACTGCGGCTTACAACAATCTATCATGTATTCTATAATGAGCTCGAAGAGCTGCCAGCACACAGAAATGAAAAATGTTTAAGGGAATAGAAGTGGTAATTACTTATTGGCTCATTCCACACCATCTGCACACATAAACTGCTGAAACAGGCATACAGAAGCTGCTTTTGCTAAAAAAAAAAATAAAAAAAAAAAAAAAAAATGAGTTGACTCCTCAGGTAGGTCCACAGGTAACTAAAGCGGGATAAGTAAAATGCTGGCATCTCTACCTTCACTTAGGATGTCTGTCTCCTTTAATTGGCTGAAGAAGGCACAGAGATAAGCTGTTGTCCTAAATCTATAGTCACTTTGGATCTTAGGAGGACCAGAGCCTCCCAGGATACATCCACATAGAGATGAGGCAGTAACCCTTGCAGGCACGGCTACACACCCGGAGCAGAAGAGACCATCCTGGAGGGACCAGATGGATCCTGGAAGTGTTAGGATGATAAGGACTACCTGGAAACTGAAGAGCTAGAGCTGGAGCAGTGGTCCAGGAGCCCAGGAGAGCTGATCAGAGCCCCTCCCAGTTCCCTCTCTATTTAAGCCGAAAGCTCACATCAGCACTTAGGAGACAGACTGGGGTTCTCTGAACTCCTTTATCTGCTCCTCTCCCAAGGTGGACACATGAAATAGACCACTTTCCTCTGCCTGTCACCATTACTCATCTCTTCTGTTGGCATGTTGTGACAGGTAGCTGAGCATAGCCTGTTGGGACTACTGGAGCCAGGCTGCTGCCTTCAAAGATCTGGGTAACATTGTCACACTGTAGCTCATAAGTGTGTATAATTACAATGTACCAATTAAAAGGAAAGGCCCTTTTAACTGATATGGGGGGGGGGAGAAACAATGGCCCTAACAAGTCCTGCCCTTAATGATGTGGTAAGTACAAAGCAAGCTGCCAGGGTCTGTGTCAGCGAATCTCCGCTGGAGTTCCTATTAGAGCAGATCACCCCCCCCCCTTTCTGATTCAATAGATTGAGGTGTCACTGCTTCGTGACAAGAATGGGTTCTATCAGGAATCTATAGCTGTGGAAACAAAGCAGCAACTGTTATTTAAAATTTGGAGATAGGCTTACATATGAACAAATAACGCATGCAGGTAAACACACACCTGGCTATATCAGTCGATTCAAGGGCTTGGGAATGGAGGCAGAGGGACTAGGAGCAGTTGGCATCGGTTCTGGTTACTAATTTTGCCTCTTTGTGGACACAGCGTTATATATTTGAATTGGTTGTTTCACTTGTAGAAACGTTATTTTTGCAACTTAAAAACCATCAATAAAGACAATTAGGTGGATTTAGTTATGAATGGATGGATGAATGAGTTAGCTGGACAGATAGAAATATCAGATAAATGGGTGGAGGGGAAAAGGAAAGAGGAGAGAGAAGGAGAGGTTAGATGGGACTGAAAAGGGAGAGGAGGGGAGAGCAGGAGATGGGGGATAGGAGAAAAGAAAGGAAAGGGGGGAGGAGAAACTGGGGAGGGTCAAGCGGGGAAAAGAGGAGTGAGAGAATGGTGCCATGGGAAGGCAGCCCCGCAGCTACTGGGAACTGGGCTCCTCCGCTTGCTCCCTACCTCCGTCAGCTGGACACTGTCCTGGGCAGCACGGAAGCTCTGGCTGAGTTCATCTACTTCTTTCTCGAAAAGCGCACGCACTTCGCTGAAGCCGGAGCTCACCGGCCCCATCAGCTCCTCCAGGATGGATGCCAGGAACGGCTGCACGATCTCCCCACAGCTTTTCTCTGCTGGCTGAGCCACCATTGCTGAGGAGGGCAAAGGTCAAAGGGAAGCACAGCTTAGGGCAGAATTAGATTCAGAGGCCGCATCACTGCTAACCGGCCCCATGGGTAAGTTCAGAGGGCCAGAGCCAACTAGCATAGTGGGTCCTTTGTCAGCATTCACCAGGCTGGAAAGCCATGCTTTGAGACCTAGGGCGTCTCCAGGACATCTCCTTCCCCAAGCTTCATGAAGCCCTGGGGAGAATTCAGTTCGCTGATCTCCACAAATGTGCAGTGGCCAAACAAATTCACTCCCCATGGTCATTGTCACAGATGAATACTTTGCCATCTAAAATAGACTTTATCAGCTTTAATTCATTTCTCTAAGTACTAACTCAGTACTAACACCACCCACCTTCTACCAATGAAGAGACCTTTTAAAAACTCAAATAAAATCTCAGGCAAACGGCACTGAGTTCCATTCAGTTTACCACTTGCTTTCCATCTGTACCATTAACTTAATTAAGACCAAGCAAAAAAAAAAAAAAAAATTCTGATGAGGATGCCAGGCTTAGTGACCACACACACACACACACACACACACACACACAGAGAGAGAGAGAGAGAGAGAGAGAGAGAGAGAGAGAGAGAGAGAGAAATCATAGGAGGGAGGAAAATAACCTCCCCATCACCCTCTAGAGACAGACACTGTTTTTGATCTTGGCTCCACGAAGCTAAGCAGGGTAGGGAATCTGCATATTTTGGTGCAGAGGGCATTCTCCTGGCCACCTAGGTTCAGAAGCAGTGATGTGGCAGAGAAGGAGCACACTACATGGACTGGGAAGACCAACCCGATGAAGGTCAGTGGGTCCCATAGCTCTGTCACATTATAACCAAAACAGGAAGAAGCAGCTGCTTTGGATGGCCAGGCCCGTCACTTTACATATGGAAAAAAGGGGAAGCTGACCACATTACATGACTTTACCCAGGTCAAGACTGATGTGCAAATGAAGGATTGTAATTCAGAACTGTGTTAAGTTATTCTGGACATGGCACGGCTGTTGCTATCATGAACTTGCTGAGCTACAGTTAGTTACCTGCTCATGAGCTGTACAGGGACCAGCAAGATGGTTCAGTGGGTGAAGGCACTTCCTGCCAAGCCTGAGGACCTGAGGTGATCCCCAAAGAGGACTGACTCCTGGAAGGTGTTCTTTGACCTCCACACATGTGAAATGTGCACACCCATTTCCACTTGCTCGTGCACGCATGCACACACACACACACACACAAAGGAATGAACGGTGTTTGAAAAAATGACTTGCGTAAGATCAGACATTCTAGCGGGCAGCACTAACTGGACTAGGTAGTTTACCAAGGAGAGAGAGAGAATGAAGATGGAGGTGGGTGGGAATGTGGAGGGTGAGTGAGATATGGGAGGGATGGGAGTTGAGAGTGGATATAGTCACGATATATTGTATATTGCATGTATGAAATAGTCAAAGAATACATAAAAGGCCCTTTTGATGATAGATTCAAATACGAAACAATCTTGAGTTTTATAAAACCTTAAAAAAAAGGACTTGTTTGAGACCAAATTGCAAAAGTGCTTGCCAAGAAATATAAACTGTCCGTTAATTAACTTGGTGAGAGGAGCTGTTTGAAAAGCATCAAACTGGAGTTTGAGGATAACCCTGAGCATTGACAATATGACGCAATAATCTGGCAATGCTGGGGATGCCATTCTCCAGGTGGGTAGAGATGGGCCCATGTTCTTCTCCTCAGCTTTCCCTGCCTGCTACTGACTGCAGAGTGTTCCAGCCCTGACCCCATCCCTTCATCCAGTGTGCTTTCACCCAGGCCCTCCTTCCTCCCTTCAGGGTCCAGTTCATATGTCACATACTTGGGATAACCTAATGACTGCCCCACCCACCCACTCCCACACACCTAAACTCCGTGAACTGTGGCCTGCAGGTGTTTCCTTACAGGCTGAGTAAAACTTGAATCCCACATATACACACACTGTGCCCGCTTCCAAGTATACAGGGACAGGGTTGTGGTGACTATGCTGGTGTGACACTAATTCAAGAGCCTCCCTGATGTTTAGCAGCTGTTGAGAAGCCTAGAAGACTGGTGGGGCTGGAGTCAGAGCCTGCTGTACACTAGCCTTGGGGAGTCAGGAATTTTCCTTAACCATGGTCTCAATTTTCTTAACTGTTAAATAGAGATGAACGGTTGTGACGCTGGAGCACAGGACTGAAGGCTTTCTCACACTTTCTAATCACCTAATACAAAAGCAGTGCTTTCCCTAAGAGGCCCCCAGCTTTCTGAAATGGTCCTATTTGTCCTGGCTTCTCTGGAGCATTTATCACATTTTCTTTCTGTCTCAGCATCTACAAAATGCTTCACATCTTCCATGTGTAAAAGTGTATTGACCGGAACCTCTTGGTCCTTAAACTCAGCATGAGAAGAATAAGTTCTTATTGAACAGATAATTGTGGAGCAGAACGGAAGATTAATGGCTTTACTCCCAAGTGCCATATGGGTAGAAATGGAGAGATGACTATTGTGGCGATTTGAATAAGAATGGTTCCCATAGGCGCATATTTTTAATGTTTAGTCTTCAGGGCGTGGCACTACTTGAGAAGGATCAGGAGGTGTGGCCTTGTTAGGGCAGGTGTGGCCTTGTTGGAGGAAGTGTGTCACTAGGAGTGGGCTTTTGAGGCCCAGTGTCTCTCTGTCTCTCTGCAGCCTGTGGATCTGGATGCAGGCCTCTCAGCTATTTCCCTAGCCCCATGTGTGCTGCCATGCTCCTTGCTGTGAGGATAACAGATGAAACCTCTGAAACTGTAAGTGAGCCCCAACTAAATGATTTCTTTTATAAGAGTTGCTGTGGTCATGGTGCCTCTTCACAGCAATAGAACCCGGACCAAGACAACTACTTAATGCTCCTGAAGGTTTCCCCAAATCCAACACCCTTCATCAATGTAGCTAGCTTCCTTGTTTTACAGGTAGAGAAGCAGTGACCCAGTTAAAATGTGTCTGTTATGTTTTCCTTTCCCTCTGCCTTTCTTCCTCCCTCCCCTCCTTCCACTTTCTTTCTTTGCAATGTCCCACTTTCTTTTCCAGCCTGGAACTCACCAGCCTCCTGACCATGGCCTCCTAGGTGATAAAGATCACCAGTGAGTCCGCTGTACCTGCCCAATACTTTGTTTTAAAAAAGGATTGCCCATTACTTCCTTGCAAGAGTTATTTTAGGGAACAACAACTACTCTGGGAGCTACAGAAAATTAGGTAGAGACTGGTCAGATTCTAGCCTGGGTAGTTAAGCCCGGATGGGTCTGGGAGAACAGAATGTTGGCAGTTTTAGGTATACATAGAATTGCAACATACACTCATCCTATATGGGCTGTGAGGCTGCACAATATCAAACAGAAATCACACTGACCCTAATCTGTACCTGGCTTTGGAGGCAATGCAGAAACACGCCCACAAACACCACACACTTGCACAATTAAACCTCCTCTAACCTCCTCTCAGAAGGAACCATCCTAAGAGCTCGGAAGCAGGTTGGACTGTAGTATGTAGTAAGAAGTATGAATTGCAGGCGATAATCTGCCAGGCAGACAACCCCCTGTTAGACAGGCAACCTCAGGAGCACAGTGTCTCAGGCTCCACCGCTAGCTCAGAAGACACTTAGCAAACGTTCAGTGTGGGTGTGATCATCTGAGCACTGATATCCAGAAACACAGCTGAGAAACGGTCACCTCTGCAGAGACATTAGGTGTGCTCTGTGCATTGGGTTCAAAATATAGAACTACAGAAAGTATCCTATAGACCCCTCCAAGGCCACCGAAGTCTTCTGTGTGGGGATGGGCCAGCCATTTCCTGCCAAGGGCCAGACAATGGATACCTGTGGCTCTGCAGTCCTTAAGGTCCCACTTAAGGTTCCAACAACTCAGTTCTGAGGTGGCAGCACGAAGCACCTAGACTGGGAACTGGTGAATGATCATGGCTGTGTTCAGTACGTCATCATCTATGAAAGCAGGTGGGAGCAGGCCCAGCTTGAGGACCACAGTTTGTACGCCACGCTCTTGTCAGCCCTTCCAATTTCAGATTAGGAGACGAAGACAAACAGAAGCCAAGTGTCCTCCTCAAGAACACCTGACTGGCTAATATGTACACTGACTTGGGGCTACAAATACAGATTGACTGACCCTGAGCAAAAATTGGAGGCTTTTCTGTTAAAGAAAAAAACATGTTCTTTTCCACAATACACAGGCACCATCACAAGGCAGGAAGCAAGATTCCCTCCGCCTTGAGTCTGCAAAGCATCCAGGGTAAGATGAGGATCCCTAGTCATACTACAGCGTGCTCCTACTACAGCTGCTATTTCTCCCTTCAATTCCCTAGGCTTAATCCTTCTCTGAAGCCAGGTATACTATCTGAGGGCAATTAGTTCTAGGGTCCCCTCACCCTCACTTCAGAGGAAGCCAAAATCCTGGGACACTAAAATTCCTGCTATCAAATGATACAGTCTTTTAACAGAACCTTGCACAATCAACCGTATATCTCAAATGCTTTAAGTCACCTTCAGTTTACTTGTAATGCTGAATTCAATGTAGATGTCACACTCTGGTTTAGGGAATAACAATTGCAGACACTTTTCCCTGGGCATTTTCCATCTGTGGTTGGTGAGAGCCCTGCGTACAGAGGGTCAACACATTCTATGTGTGGCTCTCCAAGGGGCTAGCTTTTTTATTAGGAGCAGCAGGGGCTTCTCCACCCACCTCTGATCTTCCCAGTTAGGAAGTTCTTTGAGTTCACGATCTGATCCATGTCTGAGCGGATGGTCCCTTCCAGGCCCTTTGTCAGAGCTCTGCACTCCTCCTTCAAGGCACTTAATCCTTCCGACACTTGGTGCTGAACCAGATTGTAGGCTTCCTCCAGGAGCTGTAACATGGAACAGCACATGATCCGTGACTAAAGGAGCTAGAGAAGCAGGGGAAGCAGGACCATCACAGACTCTCCCATAAACAAAACTGAGTGCACGTTCAAACTTCAAGTTCGACTGTTTGGGTTAGTTCTTACGTCAGTGAGACTGAGCAGGCTCAAGGTAGACATTTTTCTAACTAGCAAGGAATTATTTTAAGACAACACCAAATGCCCTAAAAAGTAGAGATGGGGACGTTCATTTTGGCAGTGCAATTGCAAAGCAACATTGTCACTTACACCAAACCAGGCCCTCTTCCTGTCATTCTTCCTCCCCTTCATCTTAGGAAGCAGGTCGGTCTGAAGAGTGGGCAGGAGCTCCTCCATCACCAGCTTACTCAGGACCTGCAGGGTAAAGGAGGATCCCACAGGCCATCAGTGGACCAAAGCCAGCTAGAGGTCTCACGACAGCGTCCCTGTCCTGGGCTACACAGGCTCAGAGGTAACAGAGGTGGGGGATGAGGAGTAAGAGATGAGGAGTACTGATGCTACTCAGGATCAGTAGTATGGCTGTGCATATGATAAACACAAGGAATCCTGGTTCACAATCTCAGAGGCGAACTCTCTTCAACATTCACAGGGAACAGACGTGCCTCTATTACTGTTATCACAATGGGAAGAACATTTCTCTCAAATTCAAACTCTTTATGCTCACGCTAAAAGGACCTGGTGCATTTAGAACGAGAGAGGAGCTTTCTTTCTTTTTCCAACGTAATATTTTTATGGATAATTTGGTAGTTGCACATGATGCACCCTTTGCACCCTGATCACATTTACTCCCCAAGTCCACCCTCCCCTTGTGACACCCCACAAAGAAAAGGAAAAAAGCAAAGCAAGTAAAAGAAAAAAAAATACCAAGTCCAATTTGCGTTGCCCATAAACTTACTCACTGGAGCATGGTCAAACTCCCAGTGGGCAGCCCCTTAAAGAAAACTGAGTCCTTCCCCACTTCCACCCCTGCTAGAAGCCATCAACTATGAAGAGCTACACTTCAGCATCCCTGTCACAGTTTTTAAGAGTTGAGAGGGGAGCTTTTAATGGCAGATAGGGCATCCTTAAGCAGGATAATCAAGTTTGACCATGACTGCTTGAGCCTGGTCTGTCTCTTCCTAGGACTATCATTTTTTCTCAAGCCTCCTCATGTCTAATTCTTCTTACTCCCACTCTTCCCAAACATGCTTTCCATTCTCCTGTGTTTACAAAAAGAAGGAAGGGGCAGGGTAAAGAAGAGGTGACAACAATTGCCAGACCACTCCAGGCTCCCCACCACACTGCCCAGTCCAGTACTTGTATCCTCTATCACTGCTTGCATGCCCAAGAAAAGGGGTGGAGGGGGTGTTATGGGAGATAAAGCCAAGGTAATGAACAAAACTTGAGAAGCTCTTCGGGGTGGTTGGCCAACCTCCCTCCAAAGATACCTCACCCTAAGAGGACTCTGTAAAGAAGGAAGAGAATGTACCAAAGGGACAAGGAAGATGCTGATGCTGATAAAAATGGGACTCACCAGCAGGGCATGGATGTCAACACAGACCAGGCACAGAAAGCTGAAGGCACTGTGTGTATACCTGGGCACTGCCTACATTAAAATATTATTTTTAAAGGACGTTTTACTGGATGTGGTTGCACTTGCCTCTAATCCCAATACTTAAGAGGTTGAGGCAGGAGGATAAAACAACCCTGGGTCAGTATGGGCTACTTAGTGAGATCCTGTCCTAAAACAAAACAAGCAGAATAGTTTTACTTGCTTTTAACTCATGTTGTTAAGTAACAGAACATCTCATTGTTTCATTGTGTTTTAAAGGGGAGGGGCATATATCATTAATAAAGGTCTCCTAGGTTAGACTGCTATGGGATAAATATTTTTGCTTTATAGTTTGGAAGGACTGTCTCTTGGTTCCCCAGGGGAAAGGGATTTCCTTCCAGGAACACACAGCTATCTGGGCTAATGTCTATGGCATAAAAAAGCTGAAATTCTTTCTTATGCTCTCTTCCCCCACTCTGCTTTTTGTATTTAATATCACTAAACCCAGAGATCTGTTAAAACCTGACCCCACAAACTGGCTACTGGTATGTCAACTTTGCAGCAATGCCTCGAAGACAGAGTCCTTTAAGAGAGCAAGTGGCACTGGGCGTTGGCGGCGCACAAATATTAGTCCCAGCACTCGGAAGGCAGAGGCAGGTGGATCTCTGTGAATTGGAGGCCAGCCTGGTCTAAAGAGTGAGTGCCAGGACAGGCTCTAATGCTACATAGAGAAACCCTGTCTTAGAGAGAGAGAGAGAGAGAGAGAGAGAGAGAGAGAGAGAGAGAGAGAGAGAGAGTGTGTCCTTTTCTTGGCTATAGGTCATCAGATGGCTAATTCTGCCATTTCCCTGTCATTTCCTGAAAGCCAAGGTTGGCTGGTAAAAATGTGCTCAACAACATGCTAAGTGTGAAGTGTGGACCTTTACTGTAAACATTCCCTGTTGGCGGAGTGAAGACAAGACTGTTTTAACAGCGGCTTTCCGCTGCAGTTATCCACTGGAAGAGGGAGCTAAAAAGTTGCTACACACTTTCAGTTATACCATGACTGCTTATGAAAAGTATCATTAAGAAATCTGGACCCTGCTACAAAAGCAACAGACAGGTAAGTTATCACCAAATACTATGGAAAAAATTGACATTTGTGGATAAGCAGAATTAAAGGGACATCAAAAGTTTGCAGAGTGCTTTGAAGGAATGTCCCCAAATCCATCCTAAAATGCGCTGATCAATGCACTTGTTCCCTTGGGTCTGAGCAGTACTCTGCATGTCCACTCATAACGTCCCCACTCCTCCTTCTCTGCCCCCAGTCCTGACTTGGGGTGTCTCTGCTGCTCAGACTCACTTAACAGCTCAATTGCAGCAGCAGCCTACAGATGGAGGTCTGCTAAAAGGTGAGGGCACTGCTGACAAAGGCAGCAGGCAGCAAAGCTCACAACCACTCGAGACAGCTGGTCTGTGAAGTTGAAATAATGTTTATCCAAAACAACTGACCTCTTCCTTCTCATAAAAATTCAGATTACATTGGGAATTGAGGAAGTTCTCTCTGAGCCCAATGGTCAGCCACAAGCCAGTGGACACTCTCAGAAGCTCACTAGACTTGGCCTTCCAACAGGGCTCCATTATGGCAGGGTGGAACACACTAGCTGGGCTGAGCGACTAGCAGGCTGCTCTCCTGGGCCCCTGGGCTCCTGGAAAAGGAGCTGCTAGGCTCAGTGCAGCCTGAAGGGCTCCCATCTGTGGCAGTGTGGAGCTGCCTCAAGTGATGAAGATAAGACTGACTTTCACAGGTCCACAGTCAGTGATGGACTTGTGTTTGCCTTTCTTAACCATTCTGTGACTTCATCATTAAGAGATGAAATTGCCAATTTTTTTTTGAGGAAATTATAAGAAACATATGCAAACATCATGGAAATCAGCAGGTTCAGCAATTCAATTCAACAGGTAACTCATGGTCCACAGGCCATATCCTGAGTAAATTCTTGTTTGGAACCTACGCCCAAGAGTTATCTATCAAGTATGGTATGAGGAGACAGAGCTAAGAGGGACTAAAGAGACTAAAGCAAGCTTAATAAGAAATGCCATCATGGCTGAAAAGCTTTAAGCTCAAGAATCACAAGTATCCTAATTTGTCCTTCTGCAGAGACTGGATTAATTTTGAGCATGAGTGTGAACGGATCTGAGAAGACACAAATGTTCTACACGAAGGCCAAAGACAACCAGCATTCCATTTGGGCGGGCTTGCAGTTTTCTGGTCTTTCCCACACAATGTTCCAAGAAATTTGCTTCTATTTTACAACTTAGTGACTTAAAAAGAAAATATGTCTGGGGAAAAAAAGAAAGAGGGGAAAGAGAGGCTGCAAGGGTGGTAAGCGGGTAAGGTTGGGAATAGCCCCGCAGCTGGCAGAGTCTGTAGTGCCGAAGCCCAACCACATCTCAGCCCACACTATCCTCATCCTCTCACGCCAGCTCCATCCTGACACCACTTTGTCCCTCTCTGCCCACTCAGGGTCACTGACCTGGCCACCTCTCCATAAGCCTGTGGGGCTTGTTGAAGGAAAAGTAGCTAATTTGATGGATACAATAATAAAGGTTCTCTGACCTCCCCATCAAGCAGAGTACACTGTTTTACCATAAGGAACCCAAAGATCTAATTTTCATGATTTTGTATTTTAAAAAGGAGGGAAGATGGTCGGGAATTTTAGCTGCTGGAAGTGGAGACTAAAATTTCATCATACATATAAGAACCCTAATGCGTCATCAGATTAATCAAAATGAACAGGGGATGGTGGTGCATGCCTCCAATACATGACTAAGGGAGCTGAGGGGAGAAGGGCAAGAGTTTGAGGTCAGCCTGAGCTACATGCTGAGGCTGTGTCCCCCGAAACAGTAACAACAAAACACAAACCACTCACTGAGGGCCACACCACCGTGCTTCCTTTCAGACTGAAAGCTGTGAGGAGGGTGAGTCTCAGTAAGGATGCTGCCCATTCTGAAGGCAGGCCCCGCATCTGACTGGCTCCTTGGCCCCTGGCCCCTGGCCCCTGTGTAACTGAAGGACTGTAGGTTAAGTGTATCTATTGAGAGGATCACATTCAAGATCATTTGAATGAAGACCAGTCTAGAAGGAATGGGCAAGACCTTCAATGTGGAAAGTCACACAACCAGGCAGCTCTGTGGGAAGCCAGAGCCAGTCTCACCTACCTGGCTAATTTAAAAGCAAATAATAAATACACCTGCTACCTGCAGCTACTTGACATTTTTGCAGATTTTCTCTTATGATTTCATTTGATAGTGCTCATAGCTCATATTGACAAGTAGAAAATGTGTTGATGCTTTTACCAGCATACAAATATTTTCACCTTAACAGCCTGCCAGGCATGTTATTCTGAGACACTGCTCTGCCTGGACCTTTGCCTAAAATAACCATCACCACGAAGACCTGCCATACTTGTGTGAGTCGTTACTAGGAAGAGAACTACATAAAAAGGGTCATTCAGCTCTCTTGAACTTTAGCACTTAGCACATGCTAGCCTAGAGGAAAAGAACAAAAAACACAAATAACTGAAATGCCCAATCCCAAAGATCTACTAAATATTTGTTTTCAGTGTAAAGGAATGTGAACTGACATATGGTTAATACTGTGAGTGAAAGAAGATATGAAGCCCAACTCCAGGAGACGATAAATACCAGCCTATCGCCATGGCTAGTGTTAGGCTCCTGGTCAGAGGCAGAAGACAGCCTTCCTCTGTCATCTGTCCACTCATATATAACCCTGAGAGCATCATCTGCACAGGCAGGAACCATTCTCTCATGTGACCTCTGAACCATAAGCACCCAGCACAGTGTCTGATAGAGAGTGGGCACTCGCAAAGTTACTGTCTGCTAAGACTGCACAGGTCACTTAGCTGTTCTGCCCCTCCCAGTTCCCTCACTCTAACTTCCCTTCCAACTCCATAAGACTATCAGGACAAATAGACTTAGGATATGAACATTATAAAATACCATACAAGGGCATTTTAACACAGGTCTCTCTGCTAACTATCTGCTAACTATTAAATGCATTGTCTATTGGCTTGGCTAGTCGGTATCAAATGCTTCCATTTCTTTTCTTTTTTAAAGATTTTATTTATTTATTTATTTATTTATTTATTATGTATACCACATTCTGCTTCCATGTATATGTGCACACCAGAAGAGGGCACCATCTCATAACAGATGGTTGTGAGCCACCATGTGGTTGCTGGGAATTGAACTCGGGACCTCTGGAAGAGCAGTCAGTGCTCTTAACCTCTGAGCCATCTCTCCAGCCCAATGCTTCCATTTCTTACACTTTGGGTTTTCTTTGGGGCATAAAGTATTGTACATCTTTCATCTTCTCAAAGTTTTAAATAGATGCACTTCTGCAAAACAACAGAGACTAAGGATTGTTGAAAATCCTGAAGTGTTCTCAGGTTGGGAATATACAAATATGTGTGTTGATGTAGTGATGTGTAAAGACTCTGTGTCTGGCCTTGAGTGAAATGTTTCAGCAAAGCCCTTGCTATGTTTGGGTTAATCAGCAGAGGCGGAGAAATCATTTTGGGACTGTTTAAACCTTGAAGAAATGTTGCCTCTCTGGAGAGTCCACACTTGGTGCTGTGTGAGAGCTCACAGCTGCACCGACCTTGGTCCTCAGACACTCCTGGCAGACCCAGAGTTCTTACTTTTGATTATGGCTGCCATGATCAAAAGGGACTGGGATTTGTGTGGGTTTTGTCTGCTCTCTGGCAGCAACAGCAAGATGATTTTGGTAGTTGGAACCTTTCCCAGCCCCTGTTAACCTTGTATATGTTTGAATAAAGGAATTGGAGTGAGCTAGCTGGGTGTCAGTCCTTTCCAAAAAGTCTGAATCCCTCTGCTCCTTCAGAAAATGGAGGCTTAGCATCTTGGTGACCATCTCTCTCTACTGCAGCACCCAACATCAACAATACATGGATGCGTATATACGTACTCAACACAGAGATAGGGGAAGCCTTCAGCTCATACTCCAAAATAACCAAGAACACATCCATCATTGTGAGCAAACGATGGCTTTGCATATTTAGTGACCTAACAGAAGTGTTGTGGGCTGCCTGCTGAATGCCAGGTCTGCTGGTCTTCCTATTAGGTACTCAATGGCTTAGTGACAACTGAGGGAAATGGCTTGGGAACCAACCACAACTTCTATTTGTGCAACTTCCTGCGGATCATTCGTTAAATGGCCCTGACCTCCTACTACCCAGATAGAGAGAGGACCCATAGCTCTGAGCCCCATATTACCTGGACTTCATCCCCAGTCATCATCTCCCATGAGCCATAGTGACCCTTCTCCTGCCGGAAGAACTGCACAGCTTCTAAAAAGGCTTGGGCTTCAAATGTCGTCTGCTTCATGTAATCTAAAAGAAAGAAAGGGGGCACTTAATAAAGAGAAATGCTGTTTTGTAGTATTTTTCTTGGTTCTTCAAGGAAGTAACATTTTCTATTACAAGGCCTGAAACTTTATGGGAACCCAGAAAGCTAAGCAAGTGGTCCACTAGGGTCCATCTAGAGGTGCATATCACACTGCTCACTCTCTATCCACTCTGATAACTCCATCCATCACTCACTGGGAAAAATGGTCAGGACCATCACCATCTTCCCCCTACCTCTCTCGCTCTTTCTTGCCTGCCTCAAATGCTTTCCCCAGGCACTGAGTGATTGCACGCCACCATTAATGAACCTCTCATAGGAGCAATCCATTAGTGGTGCACCTGAACCCAAGTTAAAGTCCAATTTCTCTGTGAGCTGACATCAGCCCTTTCCATCAAAGGCTTGTCTACATAGTTTGCTAATTTATGCAAATGCAAATGATAATTGATGACACATAGCAGGATACTGTTTGTTTAAGCACATCACCTATTTCATTGAGAACTGATAAAAATCCCATAGGAAAGCATTGTTATCACCTCATTTGACAGATGAGGCTGACAAGGAGCAGAAAGCCGATTAACTGCCTGGTGTCATACAGAGAGTGAGCGGAGGATCCAGGTAGAACTGGGGTAGCATCTGACTTCAAGTTTGCTTCTAATCATTACATTGCACGTCCTAACTTGATGAGCTTGTCCCTCCAAAAATTGTTCTTCCTTCTTCTCCTCTTCCTCCTTCTCTTCCTCCTCCTCCTCCTCCTCCTCCTCCTCCTCCTCCTCCTCCTCTTCTTCTACACAGGATTTCTCTGTGCAGCCCTGACTGGCCTCAAACTCACAGAGATCCACCTACCTCTGCCTCCTGAGTGCTAGGATTAATTAAAGGCATGTGCTACCACTATCTGGCTAAAATATTGCATTTTAATGGTGTCATATCTGAGAAATAATATCTCACCAGAAAGGAAGGACTGTTCAGTGGTGGGATTTAAGGTATGGAGATGGGGGCTAGGACTGAATAACCTGTCCAGAATTCCGTAAGTCACATATGTGTCTTCCTTCTCAACACATAAAACTAGCTTATGGCTGGTTCTTGTTTTGTTTTGTTTTTGTTTTTGTTTTTTTTGCTTAGGGTTTGTGGAGTGACTAACTCTGTGGCCCAGGCATACTTGGAACTTACAATCTTGTCCCAGTCTCCTGAGTGCTAGAATTACAGGCATGTGTCACCACACCAGCTAAAACAAGCTCTTGGAAGAGGAAACGCTAACAGAATTGTAGAGATTTTGATGTGGGAAATGAACTTTAAAAATAATTTTGGACGAGCAAGATGACTCAGAGGGTAAAGGTGTTTGCCACTGCAGTAGTTTGAAAGAAAATGGTTTCCAAAGGGAGTGGCACTATTAGGACGTGTGGCCTTGTTGGAGTAGGTATGGCCTTGATAGAAGTGTGTCACTGTGGAGGCAGGTTTTGAGGTCTCAGATATCCTCAAACCATGCCCAGTGACTCAGAACCACTTCCTCTTGCCTGAGAGTCAAGATGTAAGAACTCTGAGCTCCCTTGCCAGCACCATGTCTACCTACGGGCTGCCTACATGCCGCCTTACACCTAGCTGCCATGTCCTGCCACAATTAGATGTTTTTCCTTTATAAAAGTAGCCGAGGTCATGGTATCTCTCCATAGCAATAGAAACCTAACTAAGACAGCCGCCAAGCTTGATGACCTGAGTTCAATCCCTGAGACATATACAGTAGAAGGAAAGAACCAACTCCTACAAGTTGTCCTCTGACCTATGTCACGGCATAGATACATCCACACAATCAATCAAGTGATTGATCCATTAATCAATAAATGTAATTAATATTTAAAAATAGTCTAACCAGATACTACTGGGAGTTCGGCTCAGTGGTAGAGAGTTCACTTAGCATGCATTGGCCCTAAATTTGATACATTTCATGTGCAACACACACACACACACACACACACACACACACACACACCCACACACACACACACACACACACACACCCACACACACACACACACACACACACACCCACACACACACACACACACACACACACCCACACACACACACACACACACACACACACACACACTCGCGTGCGCACATGCACACACCTAATCAAATCATAAAGAAATCCACTTCTAGAAGGAGGAAATAAAGGGAGGTAAAGGGCAAGCTTCCACTACAAAACGGCACACGGCTCTCTTGCTAGAAATTATCGTTATGTATAATCTGTAATCTGCAAGTATTGGTGCTATTAGAATGAAGGCAGCTGGTTCACTGCAGAAGGGTGACATAGCTCTAGACACACAGAATCACTTAGTCATAAATGGTTACAGGGACTGGACATAACCTAAGTCTGCCCTGGCAGGTGGCAGCTGACAATGTAGATTACCTTCTTTGAAGTTGGTTTACTAGATTATAAAGCATCAGACACTTAAAAGAAGAAGCACAGCTCAGGGCACAGAATCTATAAGGGTCAAAGAGACTTCATAGTCAGAGTATCACGAAGCCTAGGAGGGACATCTTCAAAATCACAGACGAGGAACCAACATCTCTGACATCAACACAGAGTTCTGCTCCAAAGGGAAAATTGCAAAAATGGCCTGCCCCACAAATCAAGTTTTCAAATTGAAGTATCTTCTTTCTTGTTATTTTTCTTGGCTTGGCAACTCATTTAGTGTTTAACCTCAGAGGATTAAAAAATGAAAATTAAGGTCATCCTATAAAATCGCCAATGCCAGCGGCGGTGCTCTCCCCACAGTGGGATGTGCTCAACACGCTGGGAAGGACTGGACGGAGTGAGATGGAAACTGTAATTATCATGTGGGGACTCAAGATGACTCACGAGCTCTTATTTTTAACAGCTGTTTTCATTTCCAATCTAAGGAAACAAAGAGACGGGGAGAAAATGTGACTCTGTATTTGGAACGGGTAAGTATGGCCAGATCTGCCAGCCAAGGAATGGAGGTTAAGATTCCTCAGCGCCTTGCAAGCAACCAGACTTCTCCTACTTCTTCTCCAGCTGACCTCAGTAACTGGGGGAAGATATTTTATAACCTGTTCATGCCTTCAATGTCTACAGCAAAACACACTGGCATGCATACTGGAAAGTATATTGCTAAAGATCTTGGGAGGGAGGATGGGAGGAAATAGGATTTGGAGACAATGATATTAGCTTTAGACAAAAGTCAAAGAAAGAATGTCAGAAAGCAAGCGTGCAATGGTGTGGGAATAATACACCCCGACTCAGGCAGAGAACAAAGGGATAAGGGACGAAATGGGCCACAAAATAAGCCACAGCTGATCAACAATGGAATCCAGAAAACAGAGAGTTCTCATCATTAGGACAAATGAAAATTTTCACTTTCCCCTTTCTTTTTTATAAACGATTTAATTTTTTTTTTTGGTTGTGAGCCTACCTTTAACGGCTGAGCTATCCCTCCAGCCCCTATTTATTTATTTTTAATGTGCATTGGTGTTTTTGTTTTGTCTATGGAAGCACATTAGGTCTCCTGGAACTGTAGTTACAGACAGTTGTGAGCTGCCATGTGGGTGCTGGGAATTGAACCTGGGTCCTCTAGAAGAGCAGCCAGTGCTCTTAACCGCTGTGCCATCTCTCCAGTCCCCACTTCCCCCTTTCTATAATAGGAGAAAGATCCATGTTGCCAACTTATCATTAGATTTTCAACTTATAAGCTAATAAAAGAAATTGATTTATGAAAAACTTAGAGAAAATTCTGCCACAGAGTAAGTTTCTTTGTGAGTGTCTGTTCCGGTGATCATAAGCAAAATCAAAAGGCAATTGCCAGCTTGCTACGCACATAGAGAATGAAGTTTGCCAAAGACAGAACTGTGCAGCACAGTTGTAAAATGACCTTCGTTTCTCTCCGATTGTTTCAAGAGACAGAGCTGACGTCAGTACAGGTGTTTGAGAGAAAACAGATTAGCAAGTTATTTGATCAGCTTCCTGTTGGCGTTCTCAAGAGAACACACTGCAGCTGCGCAGCGGCCCTCTCTCCAGCCAATGGGCAAGCTGAGAGTTAGGTTCCCTGGCTTCCACCATCAGTGATTTGGGCTATTCCATGAAGCTTTCCCTCTGCAGGAAGACTTGTGGCAGGTAGCAAGCAGGCCAAAATTTCCTTTTCCCACGAGCTGTAAGGTTATACAAGGAGCCAGATGTAGCAGGGAGCAACTGAGGCATTTGTTAAAGCCAGATGAAGAAACAGGGGCAGAGAGGGGGGTGTTCTTAACTGAAGGTCACACAGCTGGTCAGAGTCAGAGCCAAGAGTCGGCTCTGGCAGGTCCTGTGTGGCCTGGGCATCCACACTTAAATCATAGACTTTGAGAATCAGGAGTAATCTTATTGGTCACTGACCATGAGCTCGTGTTCAGTGCTTCGAACCTTCAGCTCTCAAATAGTTCTAGTGACACAAAGCTCACGGTTTAATGAAATGTTTCTTTCTTCTTTTGGCCTGCTCTAATTATTTTAAATTTTTCCCCCTTTTTTGAAGCCATTACATTTCCATGGACCCCCACCACCACACACATACAATCCAGTTTCCCTCTTAGAGAATAAATTAATTGTCATTACTCCCTTTCCATATGATAGGGCTGAATCCCAGGCATCCACTGAGTGAACTGATTTTTTCCTTCAGCCATTCTAAAGAATTCACCCTTTGGATCTCTTTAATCTGACCCTTCCCCTCCCTCCCCCCTTGGTGATCCACTCTATTCCTCATCCTCTTGGCTCTAGACTACCCCAATACATGGGCTAGGCTCCTGCTCCTTTTCTGATGTCTTCTTTCAGGCAGCCACAGTGTCCGGGTGACTCATGCCTTTCTTGAAATCCAATAAAATCCATAAATGTTTTCATATGAAATGCTTGCCAGCCTAAGCGTCTCCTAACTTGCACTTCTACTTCTGACTTTAGGACAGCCTTTAAAGCTTAGCCATATTAAGTGACAACTTG